AGCGATATTTATCGATAATCTGATAATAAACGATAAATAACCATATATGGTATATGTCAAAAATTTTGCTATATTGCAATATATAAAATATTATCGTTATATATCAAAATTTATATCTGAGCTAATATATGATATATAGCCATAATTGATTTGTATTGATATAAATTCAATCGATGATTATCGATTTCTAGATATGTAACGATATATTTCTATTTTTGATATATATTGATTCTTTGTTATATACCGATATATAACCTATTTTATCGATATATAACGTTATTTTCTAATCGATATATATCAATTTACTGCAATATATCAATATGTATCTATATAAAAAATTTTCTAATGCTGTAAAAAAGAGGTAACTTATAAAAGTAAAGTTTATCTGTATATATATACATTTTCTTCTGACATATATACATATTATACACAACACTTTCTTGAATAACTAGTTGTGACAATGAAATGTGCAGAATAGTTCATACTATTCGCATAAACTAACATATTCCACTTAGTTTCACCTAACTGTCCTAAAAGCTGATTCTATTAATTAGCAAGTTCGGCTATTTCCTCTTGTTATAAACAGCTGCAAAAAGTATAATTTCATTGTTAGTAACTTGAAACATAATTGTTAAATAAAGCACAATTCATACTATTCGCATAAACTAATACATTCCATTTAGTTTTACTTGACTGTCCTAAAAGCTGATTCTATATAATTAGCAAGTTCGGCTATTTCTTCTTGTTATAAACAGCTACAAAAAGTATAATTTCATTGTTAGTAACTTACGAACATAATTGTTAAATAAAGCAAAAATACTTTTCATTCTACATATTGAGGTAATTATGCTATGTAAAATGAAAGCTGATTTCAATAAATATTATAGTTATATGTCTAAAATCAATTATCTTTAAAATTTAAAAGCTCATACAATTATGTTATAATTCAATTCACTTATGCTAATCCAATCTATACTTTGAACTTTACAATAAAAATTTACCACTAAATAATATATCTATACTACCTCTAGCTCATTATTCAATAAGTGTATACAATATATTCGAAAATTAAACATATAGCACTCAAATTCTTTAATGACTAACTTAAGTAAAATAACAAATGCATTTGTTATTTAATATGAATATGAAATTCCTTGTCATCTATGCCATGCCTTATAACCAGCTTTATTGTGACCAGTGTTTTGACATTGCTAACATTGAGTTGGTTTCCTAGCTTTTCTATTAGACTTGTTTTTACATTCAAATTCGTGAGACCCTTTCAATCCCTTTTTCTTTGGAGCCCCTCTTTTTGTGAAAACTATTGGATCTTCAACTTCTACAAAATCATCGTCACTAGAACTGCAACTTGAAATAGTTTTACTTTCATTATCTTGTATTCTAACACTCTTTTTAGAAATAGTTTTTTCTTTTTTTCTTGGTGCATATTTAGTAATAAACCCATTCATGATATCTTCAAGTTCTTTTATCACGCTAGAACTGGCATCCAAGCTTGTCTGAATTGCTTTTTTTGACAATCCACTAACTATTACATATGACTTGCGATAGTTGATTTTAGTATGAACATCGCTATAAGAAATATTTGGAGAATTAAATGATAAATTAGGGAAAGATTTTTCATAAACTGAAGTGTCTGAACTTGAATTATTGCCCAATCCAATAATAAAAGGATATTGCTGTGCTTGTAATTCTGGTTTAATTTGCTTTTTGTCAGTGTATCACCTTTTTGATATTAATATAATATGAAATGCAGCATATTTCGATACAGACATAACTTGAAAAAAGTGTCTACAAACTAAACCACATTGTATTAAACCAAGGCATGTGCATAAATGAGAATTATTTTTAAACAATATGACGTAATTCTTTGCTTTACGCCTATGCTGGGTAACCTCCCAAACTTCAAGAACAGATTTAATTTCTGAAGATAGTATAAGTTCTTGAATTAAAATAGCAGGTGCCTCAGTTGTATCAGATTGTTCAGTCATATTAGATTGTTCAGTCATATCATATTGTTCATCTATATTACAATATTCATTCGATTCAAATTGTTGAATAGAATCAAATAGATCATGAAAATTATTAATAAGCTGCGCCGTATAGCATATAGCTTGAGCAATCTCTTGCCGTTGCATTGATAAAGAAGTGGGTATTAAATAAGTAGAAATCTATTTGTCAATGTCAGGTAAAAATTCTGAACTGGCATGAGAAAGTGTAGATCCCGTAATAGAATGGACCCAGTTTTTGTATTGAACATAAGTGGATACACGATTAATTTGTTCGTCGATGTGTCTTGCAAGGTCGATCAAAGATGTACTGCCATTTACTGAATTTTTAATAATGGCACTTTGACCTTCAACTCGCTGTGTTAATTGTATTCTAGTGGTGAAAACTTTTGAAGTATAACAGAGTGCCCAACGTTCTTTTTCGTCCAAAAGCGCACAATTAAGATATAGCACAGCATCGGGAAATTTTCTTAAAAGTTTATTTCATAAGTAATCAAATTGTTGGTAGGAAAGTGAATTTCGAATATAATACCAATTTTGGGAAAATTTATTGTATTGATTTCCAAGTTTTCCCTTTAGGTTCTTTATTAAATTCTGCCCAATATGGTAAATGCAATGAATATGGTATACATTAGGTAAGACATTGGCAATTGCGGTATTAATAGCAAGATCGTTGTCAGTTATTATTGTTAATGGTATAACTCCCGTATTAGTAATTAGAGTTTGTAAAACCCATTTATAACTTTCAGTAGTTTCATCACTTATGAGAGCCTGTTCTACTAATCGAGACCGGTTATTATTATCTACTATTACAAAAAATCCCAATACTATTTTAAAACGATTTGTTGAATATGTGTTATTATGTTGTATAACATCTTGATATTGTATATACAAGTCATGCTAATCAGGTGACATCCAGAATAGAGATACAAGAGAATTATTTGTAGGATCAACTTTCCAATTTATAACCCATCTATTGTCTTCGCTTTTACGTTCTAGAAGTTGATTAAGTAGGGTAGCTGTCTCATATTCAACACGATTTTGTTGCTTATATGTTTGTATAGCATTTGAAAGATCTTGGGGTAGAAAAAAAGTGTCGGGGTACCATTTCATTAACATTTGAGATTGAGTTCTCATATTTAGATTACCAATTTCAGTCCAAAACTTAATATCTTTCAACATGTCTTCAGAAAATGCACGATATTTAACTGCAAACTTGTTTGTTATATTTTTTATTGGATGGTTATTATGATTTAAGAAAAGAGAACTTAGACTTAATATGTCTGTTGTTTTAGGACAACTGGCTCGAATCTGCCAACGACATTCAGTACGTTTACTTCATGTTTGTCGTTGATTTTCAGCAATACAAGTCTTTTCATAACATTACGGCCTTGGTGTTTACACGCATATTGATGACTTCAGCAAGTACTATTATTATATTCTGATCTACATATAATGCTTACAAAATTCTGTGACTTAGCATAAAGAGATATATAACGATCCAATTCTTTCCAACTACCAAATATTTGCCCGACTGTTGGTGTGTTTACTATTTCATTCAAATTCTGGTTGTTTGATTTGAAGCTTTAATTTATTAAAATGGTGAGTTAAAAATTATACCTAAATCAAACAAAGTCAAAGATATTTCAACTTACAGAGCTGTATCTACCATTTCAACCAAATTCTGGTCATTCAATTCAGCCAAATTTTGGTCATTTTCGAAGCTTTAATTAATTAAAATGGTGAGTTAAGAATTATACCTAAATCAAACAAAGCCAAGAAGGTTCAACTTACAGAGCTGTGTCTACGATTTCATTAAAGCTTTAATTAATTAAAATGGTGAGTTAAGAAATATACCTAAATTAAACAAAGTCAAAGAAGGTTCAACTTACAGAGCTGAAATATTTAATGACTGTTTCTCAAAAAATTCAAAACTATCTTCTTTATTCATTTTTATTAAAATCTTGTTCCAATGAAACGATTATTAAATTAAGCTAATTTTTTTAGAAACAAAATGCTGCAAGAAAGTCACAGGACTATATAGTAGTCAAAGTTATCGCAGTTTGTTCAAACAGAAAAGAGATTCCACACAATAAATTTAATGCGGGTTTTCAATATGAGTGAAATATGTGCAAGGCAAGTATCTGCTTCTATGTATTTTTTATAGAAAAGAAATTAACCCATTACTTTTGTCTTCTCTATTAAACGTCCAAGAAAAAATCACAAGGCTAAATAATACTTGAGACTACTATAATTCAATGACAAAATGGTATTTTACGTGACTAACAATTAATTTAACACGGTTTTCAAGATTTTTTAGATATGCTCAAGTATTGCTTGCTATATTGTTGCAAAAAAAGAGAAGAATAAAATTAACCGCTACTCTATTTTATACTTTTTAATCAATCATGTTTTTTACGTCATTTATTTATTACATAATTTATTTTGCAATGCATATGATCGTTACCTAGTCAATGTTGCACAAGACATATATAATCAATAAATAGGTACAAAAATTTATTATACTCTACGGGTACAAACATATTAATTCTTAAAAGATATATATAATAAAAGTTGTATTATAGTATACAATGGCCAATTAATAACCAAAAAGAGTATCAATATACAATACAAAATCTTTAGCAAGTTAATTGGTAATTCACAAGTCAACCAAAGAATAATCATAGTAAAATATAACTCAAATTATTTATAGAAATTGAGAGTTTGCAAATATGTGTATATAAATCTAAAACTTTTTTTTATACTAAATTAATCACTCTTCTGATTTAAGAAACTTTTGTAAAGCTTGTTAAGGCATATCTAATAGTGGTTAGAACATTAAAATTGGCCTGGTGGGTATCAAGATATCTTTAAAAAATGTTTCTTTTACTATATAAACTTCTTTGCAAACAATACTATTGTTTGCAAAGAAGTTTATA